CTTGGCGGCATCCGCAGCCTTGCAGGCCTCAGCCGGCTTGGCGGCCTCGGCGGGCTTGGCAGCCTCGGCGGGCTTGGCGGCCTCGGCGGGCTTGGCGGCCTCGGCGGGCTTGGCGGAACCGATCTTGATGACGGACGGGGTGGCAGCCGGAGCCGGAGTGGGAGTCGGCTCGGCGACGACAGCCGGGGCAGCGGCGGCGACGACCGGAGCAGCAGCGGCGGCGGCGGCGGGAGCAGCGGCGGCGGCATCAGCAGCCGGAGCGGCGGCGGCGGCAGCGGTGGCCTCCTTCCGGCGAAGGAAGGCAGGCTTGAAAGCAGGTGCGCTGGTGTTGGGGCGCCCAGAAGCCGACATGATGTCAAACTCCTTGCTCGGATCGGGAGAGGGGGAGAAACGGGGGGAGGAACAGGGGCAAAAGGAGGGAGAGGGGGGGGAGGGGGGGGCGGGGGCGCTTGCAGGCTGATGCTGCTTCGAGTGCGGCAGCTTCCACACCCACAGCGGCAGCTCTTAAACCTCTGGCGCCAAAAGGCCGCGGCCGCGGGGAATGTCACGGGGCAAGAGGGCAATGTCAATAAATAAAAGCCGGGCGAGGGGGGGTCGCCAGGAGTGGAGGTGAGCAAGAGGAAGAGAGGGGCGGAACATCCGGACCCGGCAGGGGAGGGCAGGGAGACGGGGGAGAACCGAAACACAGGTCAAAAACGGCTCACTCGGCAACGTCTACGGCGGAGACCTGGCCCCCTCCCCTCCCCGTGGGTGGGGCGGCGCGGGGCGGTGCGGTGAAAGGGACAAGACCCCGGGGCCTTTGCTTGGGCCTTGTGTCACACGAACGCCACCTGGTCGTGGGCCCGCGCAGTCGGATGGACAAGATAAGAACCAGATGGAGCCGTGGGGGGGGGGGAGGGGGGGGGCTCCAGGCGCACGCATGGCGCCAAATACGTCTCCCTCACCCTCCGTCCCGTCCCAGTCCGCCCTGTTGGGCCCCGTCGCCACAGCAGGCCCCCCCGCCCCCTCCCTTCGGATGAAAGTAGACCATTCCCTGCGGCTTGGGATCGCCCGGGGTGCGCCAAGCACAGTCGTTGAAAGTGTGACACCCCACCGTAACACACGCCAGACCCGAGAGAAGAAAAAGGGACCGGGCATGAATGAGCGCCACAGACAACGAGAAACCATGTGTCGTGCAGGGGACGGACAGACAGGGCTTCGGCCTTGGTCCGCAGGTGGATGGTCAGTTGGGAGAAGCGGGAAAAAAAGCCGGCTCTCGAGCCCGTCAAGCTGAGAAATAGGCGAAGGAAAGGAGAGCCACAGAGGGCAGGGAACTTACTGCCTGCTGCTCGCCAGGATGGGCGGCAGGAGTGCGTCATGTGTGGCAAGCGATATTCTTGTATCCATCTTGCGCATTCAGGACCACAGGGACGACCGAGGCCTGGCGGTGCCGACGGGGCGATGCCCCGGGAGAGGGGACCCGCACTCTGCCGGAGGGAAGAGAGCCCGGACAGGCGGGGGGCCGGGACCGCTGATCACTCGCCCCGATTCCGAGCCAGGTTGTCTCTGCGACCCTGGCCTCCCCCCATGCTCGAATCTCCAGCACTGCCCCCAAACGCCGTGCGCCTGGCTCACCGTAACACGCTGAGAGAGGGCCGACCCTTTGCGAGCTCTAGCGGAATGGTGTTTCTTCCATGGCCACGTGTACTCGTGACATCTCTTATTTGGCCTATTCTCAATCGTCACGCCGAAGGCTAGCCGGCACGCTCGGAGATGCCAGCATAAAGTCGCCGCCTGGGCGCCAACAGAAACTCACCAAGAGCACACCCATGCGCGGGAACACGAACACCTGTACCGCGGACGCTCCCCCCCCCCCCTGCCTCCCGACCAAGCTACATGATAATTGTCTGACTGGAGTTGTGGTTATAGCCGCGAGGAAACAAAAGGCAACGCCCCACAGGGGGGGGGTGGCTGGGCGGGGGAAGGGAGAGCATATATTTGGGGCTCCATCGGGGATGCGCGCGCAGGGGGGGGGGGGGGGGAGCACAACACTGTTGCATGCCGCGCGCCTCCGGAGCAAGAGAAGGGGACTTTTTTCGTCTCTCATCTCCCCCCCCCCCTCCCAGTTCCCCGCGAGGAGAAGAGCACAAGGACAAAAAAAGCCGCAAGGAGGGAGGCACAGGCCGGATATCGCCTCATCACACGGTGCATCGCCGCGGTGAGGCTACCACCGGACCATAGTCAAATTGGGCAAGCAAATCGAAGACCCCGACGCGCACCAGGAGCTCGGCCGCATGGCAGGACACCAGCAACTCCTCGCCCTGGAGGAAGGCATTGAACAAGCAAGAGGCACTCGAGATGCTCACCTTCATGGAGATCGGCACGCAGATGGCCTGGCGAGAGGGCAGAAGCAGGGGATTCTTCGACCAGTCGAGGTTGACCCGGTCAAGGACCGCATCGCAGTTGTGCGAGTAGGCATCGAAGCTGCCGCGGACAATGTGCAGGTCAAACCCCAAGGGCATGCGGAATTTGGCCTGCCCATGAAGGGTGATCCCTCCAGGGCCAGGCAGTGGCAGGCCACCGCTGAAGTCGATGAATACCCCCTCGATCAGGGGCTCGGCCAGAGCCGGCAGCACATGGCCCACGGTGATGGTGGCCACGGCATCCGGCTCGGGCTCCGGAAGCCCGAGGTCCAGCTTGAGGGAGCCGCTGACGCGCAAGTCGACAGCACTGCCAGTGACGTAGTCCGCCATAAACTGGCCGATGACCGGCGCACTGGCCGGCGTGTTGATAAGCGTGCCATACATGGTCAGTCGGTTGAGGCCGTGCTGCACGACCACCCCCTCGACATCCATCAGCCCGAGAGACACCGTCGGATCGGGCCGGGGGGCACCCTCCACCGGGGGAACGGCCCCGTAGTAAAAGACATCCAGTTGAGAGGCCAGCACCTTGAGGGGCCAGCTGAATGCCACGGTGGAGGGGTTGTGCAGGGCCACAACAAAGCCCAGAGTCAGCGTGTCAAGGGTCGAGTCGCTGTAGATGATATCTTCCACCAGGAGGTCGAAGCCGACGAATCCACGGACAATGGCCTTTTGGTCGATGGATACCAAGGCGGTGTGATTGGAGTCTGGGGACCGAGGGGGGGGGGGGGGGGGGGGAGATATTCAAAGAAAGGGTCAGCACATTCGCCTGGCGTATGATGGTCGCAGTGGCATCCGTGCGCATCGGGGTGGCGGTGATGCCGAAGACCGTGGCGAGATCAAAAGTGACGGAGCAGGAGAGGCAAGGAGGAGGAATGGGGAGGGCGACGGAGAGGACGTACAAATCGGGACCTTGGCCGTGATCTTCAACTTCCCGGCCATGCGTGCCGAAGTCCACTCGCTCATGGCCACACGCTCCATGAAGGAGTGGAGAAGGCGGTCATCAAGGATGATCATGTCGGCGATGATGTCGATCTCAACACTGCCGGCGAGCGAGCGTGGGTGCGTGCGTGCGTGCGTGCGTGCGTGCGTGCGTGTGTGCATGCGTGCGTGCGTGCGTGCGTGTGTGTGTGTGTGTGTGTGTGTCCGGAGCCTGGTGTTAGTCGATCAAAGGGGCCGTTGTTGGCGGGGGGGGGGGGGCGGGGGGGGGGGGGGGGGGGGGGGGCTACCGGGGAAGACAGGAAGAGGGAGAGAGGAAGGGCAAGAGGGAAAAGGAGTCACACGTCCGAGCCGGAGGACCACGCACTGGAGCCCATCAAACTCGATGGAAGGCAGCATGACTGAGCCAACAACGGCATACGTGCAACCGGGATCAACATCCTCCGGCGGGGGCGTGGAATCCGAGGACGAGGAGGAGCCTCCACTGGTGGACGAAGAAAAGGACCCCGAGGGGGAGGAGCCGGATTGCGAGGCAGCTCGCAAGCGGAACCCCCCAGCCTCGCCCGGAGGCGGAGGCTGGGGGCAGAGCAGAGGATCAGGCACAAGGACATCCACTGGACCGGAGTGCAGCACACCCGACGTGGAAAAGGGAGCGTCTGCCAGGATGGCAGCTATGATGCCCGAAGAGCGAGGCAATGGGGTGAGAGGGGCTAAACATGATTCCGCTCACAGGCGTCTGTGTGTCCGCCGGTGCGTCTCTGAGTGCATTTCTGCCCATCCGTGTGCAGTGCTGCCCATGGGTGACTGCGAGAAAGAGGAAGTGGGGCAAAGGATGAACGTACCCCGGAGATGGACCGATGACACACCATCCTTCACATCCAGCAGCTCCAACGAGTAGATCTCGACATCAGCCTTACGGATGAAGTGCCCCATTAAAGCTGGATGGGGGGCAGGGGGGGGGGGGGTGTTAGCTTGGGCACGCACAGGGAGTGCGTGGACAGGAAGATATATCTATCTTCGGGCCAGGGAGCGGGCGGGGCTACTAAAAAGGAGCGACACGTACCGGTGATGACGGCCGGGATAATGAGCGTAAAAAGGAGCGTCAAAAAGAGAGCAACTCCGAACACCGAAAGGACGGTGATCAGGATGATGCGCTTGCGCTTCTTGTCGGCCTTGTCAACTTCATCGGGTCTGCCATCTGGTGGTAAGCGTCGAGCGCGTTGGGGGATGGACAGAAGGGCAAAGGATGGCGGGGAAAGGGGCGTGCGGGGGGCGACAGCGAAGGTAAAGGGCATGGAGGGTGAGCCGAGGAATGGACGCACTCTGAAAACAGAGGATCATGCTCGGTCGAGGAGATCTCGGAGTTGAGCGTCGCACCGTAGTAAGTGGGATCATTGGGGGCAACTGGATCATTGATGGAGATGTGGGTGCCGCTGTCCCCGCTGGCGGTGTATAAATCGGGTGTGCTCATCAGAGGAGGAGATGCGGGACCAAGATGCGGAAGGGGGCCGGAGGGGGGGGGGGGGGGGGGAGGGGCGGAGGAGAGGGGATGACAGGGGAGAACGCGAAGAGGAGACCTGGGCGGGAGCCGGCGAGGTAAATGTCAAAGAGGGGTATGGATCTGGCTGTCGCGAGGAGCCTCGGCAGGGGGGGGAGCGAGTCGCCTCTTAAGTATGACGGCCATGGGCCGGGGAGGGAACCGGAACGAGGCGGGGCGCCGGGCGGGCGGCCGGCCGGCCGGCCGGCCGGGCTGCAGGCCGCAAAGGGGGGCCAGGGGTGCTTGAGATCGGCATGCGGGTGGTTGTGCTCGGCCCGGCGGGGACCAGCGAAAGTGGGGCGAGTTGGCATGCGCGACTAGCAGAGAGGGCGAGAAACACCAAGCGCCCTGGCACGGGAACTCGCCTCCCGTGAGCCCACCCCCGGAGGGTCGTGCTAGGCGGCGGGCGGGATGCAACGGCCCGACACCATCGCATGAAGAATGGGCTCGCGCGCGGGCACTGCCTGACCCCCTCCCGCCCCGCCCCCCCTTGGACGGACTCTCACTGCCCGGACGCCTGTACCGGCCAGGATCAGCCCACCCGGTGACGCCGGTCGGAACGCCGGCGCCGTGGGGCTTGGCAAGAGGGGGAGCTGGCGGAGGGGGGCATGTCCCCGACACGCCCGGGCACGCGACGCTCCAAACAACACAGCGTGGGCCCCAGCGAACAGGTCCCCAACCGAAACCGGCCGGGGCTCTTGCCGGAGGCGTATCCTCCGCCGCGAACCGGATGGTTCCCACAGCATTGGTCGGTCCGTTGGCGCTCCCCCCTGGATGGCCGAAACGAGTAAACACCCCTCGCCTCGTCACGTCTGGTGGAAAGGCCCTTGGGTTGCCTGGCCATCCCCCGCCCCGCTGGCGCGGTACCCCCATCCGGCACCCCTTGGAGCCGACACCCGAGCCCGAGTCCACCTCTCTCTCTCTCTCTCTCTCTCGCTCTCTCGCTCTCTCCAGGCCCCGCGGAAAGCGGCGCAGAGAGCATCCCTGGGAAACCCACCCCCACCGATTGAAACATCGCCGCCGGTTGAACATGTGTATCTTCCCCGCCCGGCGCCCCCCCCCCCCCGCACGAGGGGGAGCAGAGGATCGGCTGGGGTGAGGAGGAGGGGGGGGACCGCGGACAAACGTGCCTGGGGTACCCCCATCTGCCTGATTGCCCGGCTTATCCCCGTCCCCCCGCCCCTCCCCCGCCCCTCCCTCGCCCCTGGGCCCCAAGAGCGATCGAGCCACATTGCACTGGTGATCGGATGGTCGACCCTTGCTCGGTGTTCTTGGGGCTCGCCGGGGCCGGCCGTCTGCCTCCCACCCTCGACGTGGGCAGCCGGAAGGAAGAGTGTTCGCAGCACCATGTCGCTGCGGAGACCAGCCATAAACGTGTCGGCTAGTCCAAACGCACTCCGTCGCGCTAGCTGCTGGCCCCGGACACAGGGCGAGATAGGCCGTAGAGAGGGTGGAAGGCGAAAGGGGGGGGGGGGGGGCCGAGGTGGTACAACAACAACACATGGGGCCAGAAATTCCCCCCCACCCCAGGCGCGCCTGGGCTGGAGACGTCCCTGCGTGTGGCGATTGGGGAGAGCCGCCGAAAAATGGGGTGCGCCCCAGACACTGGGACGCGTCCCTTGGGGAAGGGTGGCGGCGACACGTGCAATCCCTTCGGGTTCGGGTTCTCCCATGCTTGTTGAAATGCTCAGCCTCATCCCCCCGACAGGGACGACTACCCAGCGTGGGCGACGCTGACGCGCTGTTCATGCGTGTGAATGCCCTTGCACTTTTTTTTCCTCAAGGGGCGAGGGAGTATAGGCAGCCAGGTCCATGGGCCGAGGAAGCGGGCATGACGACCTGCTTGCGGGTTGGGCCGGCCGGGAACGGTGGTGGAGTCCCGAAAGCAGCCGGCGCTCCCCTAATAGGGGGGATGTCCCGAGCCCCCCCCCCCCCGCTCCCCACCAAGACCGGAAGTCACCCAGGAAAGGGCTGTTGCTCCGTCTGGGCCCTTGCATTCGCTCCGCAGGATAGCGCCCATCTACATGATTAACCGCCTGAAGCCCGAAACAAGCCATGCGCTCCGGCCCCCGGGAGCGCTGTTCGCTGGAGCACGATCGGAATGGGTCAGAATCGTAGTGAAAATGGGACCTCATATGATCAATCGGGTGCTGGCCGAGCACGCGCGAAAAATATGCTTCTGATCATGTGAACTGTCGTGTTGGAATTGAATGATAGACCACCCAATCTGATTCTGGGACATATGCCAGGCGCCAGCATGCAAGGCTCATGGCTGGGGACTTTCGCCCCCCCCCCCCATGTGGGTACCCTCAAATCAGGCAGAAATTTGAACACACACACACAACGCTGTGATGCCTCCCCTTGGTGACAACATACCATCGCCCACTTACACGCATTCACTGGGAAGGGGGGAATGAGATTCCTGGGGACTGAAGAGAGGCATGCTCCTCGGGCGGCTCTGGGTGCGGGGGGGGGGGGATTCTCGACTGGCAGGGGATCGAGGCCCGTGTTTCAGGGATGAGGCCGCGTCTTCGCAGCCGGGAGGGGATGACCAGGAGATGAGCCACCGTCGCCCGAGGATCCGACGGACGCGCTGGACGG